ATGCAAGAGGGAGGGGATATGGGGATATATGTATACGTAGAGCTGATTCACTTTGTTATACAGCAGAAACTAACACAACATTTTAAAGCAATTACAAGGCCCCCCATCCCCAAAAAAAAAAAAAAAAAAGTATTGCCAGCTCTGTCCACTGAAAAGTTATAAACAGTGACTAGACCAGTAGCATTGAGCACCCCCAGTGCCCAGACTGTGATTTCTCAATGCATTTTGCATTAACAGGAGATAAGGGTCTTTGAAGAAATGGCTGGTTCCAGGTCTAGGGCAGGAACTGTAGACCCCAGAACAGACAGCCAAGAGGAATTCAAAGACTACTAGGATTCTATCAACTCAAGAGTCAGACTGAATAAGCTCCTACTGGAAGAAAGAAAGAGAGAGAGAGAGAGAGAGAGAGAGAGAGGGAGGGGAGAGGGAGGGAGGGGGGGAAGGAAGGAAGGAAGGAAGGAAGGAAGGAAGGTGGGAGGGAGGAAGGAAGGAAGGAAGAGATTGAATATCAGTAAGATTCATAATTGCAGTAGAATAATATTCATCAAATCAAAATATATGTGTATCCATGAGGTCATAATGATACAAAATAAAATAAAAACTAGTCACTTTGGTTGATGCTAAGAGACTTTTTTTGAAATTTGGTAAAGAAAGAAAAGAATAAAATATTTTAGCCACTTCTCCTGTTCAGTCTGTATCTCATGATAACCAAATAGTTGGTGAGGGGAAACTTCTCTTTTAGTGTTTAAAAGCATTCTAGTTAATAAATAAGGTATGATAGAATATCACCTTTTCAAAGCTTTAGTGAATCAGTAGGTAAAGGCAGTGATCATCAATGGAAAGGGAAAACCAGATGTTACGAACTAATACTGATATACAACATTACATGTGAATTAGTCTTGGGGGAAAAATGAATCTGCTCTAGCCTTTAGATTTACTAATTTACTAGAAGTAGAAAGGACAAAGAAGCATATTAAATAACACCATGGGAATAAAATCAACCAACCAGACTGAAAAACTCTATAAAACAAACCATCTAACTTACTCAACAGTAGAAACAACAACAAAAATTGCAAAAAAGAAAAAAAAGGCAGATAGGGCTTCCCTGGTGGCGCAGTGCTTGAGAGTCCGCCTGCCGATGCAGGAGACGCGGGTTCGTGCCCCGTTTCGAGAAGATCCCACATGCCGCGGAGCGGCTGGGCCCGTGAGCCATGGGCGCTGGGCCTGCGCATCTGGAGCCTGTGCTCCGCAACGGGAGAGGCCACAACATTGAGAGGCCCGCGTACCGCAGAAAAAA